CTGACCTGAGGCCCCCAGGCCCTCTCCAAGCTGGTCCAAGCCCCAGCTGTCCACATGCATGTCTTGCAGCTGCCCCCAATGCTGCTTCAGTCACATGTTACACTCTGTCCTCCAGACCCAAACTGAGCTTCATGGTGCTGGGGAGGGGCTCTGTGCCTGCATGCCTTTGCTCAAGAAGTTTTCGTTCGTTTGTTGCTGAATACAATTTCCAACTTACAGAATAGGTGCAAGAATAGTACAAAGAACTCCTGTATTTCCTTCATCCACATTCTTTAATTGTTGACATTTTATCACGTGTGCTCTATCATTCATATGTGTGTGTGTGTGTGTGTGTGTGTGTTGCATCTAGTTCTGTGTGTATCTGATACCTCTGATTGCAGCCCAGCCCTAGGGCTGCTGGGAGCCTAACCATCTTTCGTATGTGCAGATCCGTCTCTGGCTGTGGGAAACTGGCTGCCATCACTGCTGACATGTTGTTATTATTTCTGCTAATCTCCCTGTAGGTAGCGATGTCCTTAGGACCTTGGTCTCCTCCTGCGTGCCACTGCTGATCCTGCGCCTCCTACTGTCACCCCACCTGCCTCTTCCAAGGGAGGGTAGGGGAAGCCCAGTGGCTTTCCAACCGATTCATCAGAGAGAGAGGGAGGAAAAGGCTTTTTTTTAAAACCCAGAAAGCCCTTTGCAGACGTGGGCTTATTGAAGCACTTTGCTCGCTTCAGATTTTCCCCTCATGGGGTTACCCAGATTTCCCTGGCCTGAAAGAGTCCTGTGTTTCTAAGGCAGTTTGCTCTGTTGTCACCTGCTGTGGTCTGAATGTTTGTGTCCCTCCAGATTCACATGTTGAAATCCTCACCCCCATGGTGACAGTGTTAGGAGGTGGGGCCTTTGGGAGGTGATTAGGACATGAGGGTGGAGCCCTCATGAATGGGATTCGTGCCCTTATAAGAGAGCCTCAGAGAGCTGTCTTGCCTCTTCTGCTGTGTGAAGACACGGCAAGAAGGCGCCATCTGTGACAGGAAGTGGGCTGTCACCACCCCCTGCATCTTCTGGCACCTCAATCTTGGACTTCCCAGCCTCCAGCACTGTGAGAAATCCATTTCCATTTTTTATGAGCTACCAGGTCTCTGGGAATTCTTTGTGGCCGCTGCACTACGGGACATTCTTCTCAGACCTGCTTTAGATTTTGGACTTGTCTCACTTTGCTTCTTAGCCTGTCAGCCATGGCGTGTGCAATGTCGTGGAGTTCGTCCTGTGCCTGCCACGGGGTCCCCTGTGTTAGCTTTTGAGGTGTTGGCTTTTGAGCCTGGAATGTGAACGTCTCCCTTATGAGGCAGAGCCCTGTCCGCCTCTGTCTCTGAAGGGTGACTCATGGCCTTGTGGAGTGGCACTTGTGGACACAGCCTCCCTTCCTGACATTCCAGCGGAGCCACCCTTTGCTGGCCTGGCGAGATCTACAGCCGGTGGCCCAGCAGCTGGTGGCACAGCTGGTGATGCACATCTCTGACAGGTTTTTTTTTTTCCTCTAAAAAATATTTCAGCCACTCTGGTCCCAGCAGCACCGCCAGTAGGATCTAGAGGCCTTTTATAGCCTTTTACAGTTGGTCTGAGAAGAGCTTTTAATAACAATCCCTCCATTTCCCCAGAGGTCAGCTCTCCCTCTTATTTAGCCATCTGGAAAACAACCGGATCGCTAGGAAGTGGACAGAAAGGCTCTGGAGCTGATGGTACCATGTGAACTTGACAATTTCTCTTTTTTTTGCTTAGCAATTTCATGTGGTTCAACCTAATGGATAGGTATATACTCATGCACACATGCATGTACGTTATAAAATTATTATAATTATTTGGAATGAGAGATTCATAGATCTTTATTCAGAGTTTATTATCTCTTGATCTACACACTATTCTAACACCTCAGCCACGTTCTTAGTCTGTGGCATACTAGAAGCAGAGAACTGGAAGGCGTAAGGTAGCAGGAAGAGACCAGTGAGTTAGAGGGGAGAGGTGAGAGCTGACAGCCTGAGAGTGAGGGACAGGACTGAGTCAGAGTCGTCGGTGATCATGTAGTCTGGAGCCTTCACATTTCCAGATGGAAAAGCTACAGCTCAGAGAAGTCCCTGGCAGAGACTGCAAGGGGGGCTGGCCTGAAACCCTGCCTCTTGACTTTATATACACCTTTTGTTTGTTTGTTTTTTGCCACAGCACGCTTTGTCTTTTACACCATAGTTACTTAGGATGATTGAATGTCATTGAGAAAGTGTTTAATTATGTTCAAGATCCCCTTTTCAAAAAAATCAAGCAAGTGTTTGTGCTTCAGAAAGTAATTATATCCCAAAGAGTTAGGATATAAATGCCATCACATAGAATATATAGGCAGATATCTGTTATCCAAAGAATTCTCCATTTTGACCTTTGTTTTCCCCAGTGGTGCCTAATGAATGAGGCGTGGCTGTGTTTCTGTCTTGGGATGAGGCTGACAAGTCTAGATCCTCACGGTGGAAAATGTGACTACAGAAGTGGGGGAAGGACAGCGTGATTCTGATTGTCCCCATCTCGTAAAACTTTCACTGAGCTGTGAAGTTGTTCCCTGGCACTTAAAATTTTTCTTAAATATGTTTTCTTATTTACTTCACTTATGAAAGCAGTATGTGTTCACCATAGAACTAGAAAATGGAGATAAATTCCACAAATTTCCAATAGGAAAAACACTTATAATTTTACTACTGAAAGGGAATTACCATGAAGACCTTGGCACATCACGTGTCCTTGAACATTGCCTGTTTGCCCGTTCACTCCATTGCTTGCCTTCTGTGTGTGTGGGTGTGTGTGTGTGTGTGTGTATGTGCATGCATTTAAATATACAAATATATAAAATCTGGGTCATGGTGCCAGTACTCTCTATTATCAGTTAATAATGGATATGTTTACATCTAGATACGTGAAGGTCTACCTTATTTTTAAAACAGCTGCAAATGACTTTGTACTATAGCTGTGCCTTAATTTGATTAACTGCCCCCTACTGTTGGACATTTTCGTTGTTTCCAGATTTTTTGCCATTGTGATCACAGCTATGATCAGCATCTTTGTCCACACCCTTAATCATCTCCTTAAAATAAGTTCTTGGAAGTATCATGGCTGTGTCAAAGGGAACAAGGTATTTTATGGCTTTCAATGGGTGTTACCAGAACTCCTGGGCTGTTTTTCCACTCAGGTTTTATGACTTTGGAAAGTTGGTATTGCCTGTGGTTTAGGATTCTTCAAATTGTGACTGACTCCTTGGGCGTGGTCATAGGGCCCCACGGTCTTGTTCTCAGAGAACTAGAAAGGTGGGTGGGAACCTTGGAGGAAGAGCAAACATCAGAAGATCCATGAGGATAAATATAAAGCGTATGCATGTGCTAGTCCAATCGCATTTATAGTATAGTTTTGGAAAATTCACAAAGCCTCCCCCTGTCATTTTTCTCAAAGCCAAGGGCGGCACTTTCCAAGGGCGGCACTTTGTGTCTGAATATTCAATAGACGCTTTGGGCTGACCCTCCGGCTTAGGATCTGATCTAACTCTCCAACCTGGCCTCGTGATCTGGCTCCTGTCCACCTCTCCCTTTCACAATCCCCCCTTCTCTATCTATGCTCTAATTGCAGTGACCTTCCTGCTATTCCTCCAGAATGCCAGACTCCTTCCTGATTCAGGGTTTTCAAATATGTGGCTCCTTGTACTAAGGGATACTCTTCCTTTCTCTTACTCTCCAACCTTTGAGACACAGCCAAATGTAGTGATTAAGGGCATGGTTCCCAGGGACAGGCTTGGGTTTGTGTCCTGGTTCAGCTGCATACCAGCTGTGCAACCTTGGACAAGTTACTCAGCCTCTCTGTGCCTTAGTTTTCACATCTGTAAAACAGTGGTAATAATAGCACTCACCTCACAAGGCTGTTCTGTGGATCAAGTCAGTGATACCTATAAGCACTCAGAACAGTTCCTGGCATGGAGTAAGCAGCAGTAAACATTTGCTGTCACTGAGCTGGCCAGCTGGCTTTGGCTGACTCACTGGTCCACAAGGAAGTTTTCCCCGACCCCCACTCTGGGCCAGGAACTCTTAGTTTATGCTCTCATAGCCATCAGTACCTTTCCTTTTTAGCAGATATTACAATCACTACTAAGTAAAAACAAAAAGCATTTAAAAAATGTCAGCCTCAGGGACACCTCTCTCTTGTTCACAGCCTAGGGCTGATGTTCACTCAATATCTGCTCCAGGAATGAAAATAATGGTCCCATTACTTATGGCTACAGGGTGGAGTTCACCAGAAAGAAAGTCACTCCCTGACCTCCCGGAAGAAATAATACAACGTAGCTGATTAAGAGAGGGCTTCGTGTGAGAGCCATGTGATGGGTGTCTGAGGACTGCATCTCTCCCAGCTTTCAGGCTGTTTTTTAAATTATAACTCATTCGAAACTTTTAAAAATACAAAGAAATGAATTGCTAGAAAAATGAAACAAACTCAAGGCCAGGGTTTCTCAACCTGCACACCATCAGATGTTTGGGATCAGATAGTCCTTTGTCGGCGGGCTGCCTGCACACTGTAGGATGTTTAGCAGTATCTTTGGCCTCTACCCACTAGATGCCAGTAGCACCTCCCAACCCCAGCTGTGACAACCAAAAATGTCTCCAGACATTGCCAGTGTACCCTGGGGAGCAAAAGTCACCTTTGGTTGAGGACCATTGTTCAAGACCTACAAAACACAAGCCCTGACTTTTTATTATTAGATTCAACAGACGTAAAAGTACTCTATCAAATTGCTGGAAAGGTTTCTGAACACTCCACATTTCTGTACTTATCAGGGATGGGTGACAGACGCCTCCTGGAGCAGCACTATCAGTCCCTTCCTTCACAGAAAGGAAAACTGAGGCCCTGATCAGGGTCCAGATAAAATGCGCCGTTAAAACACATTTAAAACTTTTAGGAACATGTCTGAGCATTGGCTTTTCCTCTCCTCTCCCCAGCTCACCTGCAGCAGCTGATGTCATCCAGCCTGCTGCCCCCACAGACCAGGAAAACCCACCCTTAGCTGCCTCTTCCCACCATGGTGATGTCATTGGCCAGGTCTCTACGGATCTGACAGCCCAGAGGTATGTGGGGGCTGGGGCTGGGGCTGGGCCTGGTGGTGGGACCCCAGGGCCAATCCCTCCCCACTCCACCCCTCCCTCGTCTCACCAGCAGTTCCCCCCCCCCCCCCGGGTCCCCCGGCGTTCCCCCCCCCCCCCACGGGGTTTACACAC